GAGAGAGAGAGAGAGAGAGAGAGAGAGAGAGAGAGAGAGAGACTATTATTTCTAGTGTTACAATAACAGCAGCTGCTGTCACCATCTCCAACAGTTACCATAGATCTCAGCAAGCACTGAGTTATGAGGTAGGATGGGACAGCCATCTTTTATTGACATCTGACACTTTTTTTTTCTCCTGAAAAAAACCAAAAGGCTTTTACCACCCTAGAGATAAAGTATCCAATCTCCTGATTGTGAATGGCCAGGATAAATAATTTCTTCTTCCAGAAGTGTATGTTGAACTAATGTGCAGATGAACTATATTCATAGATTGGTGTAGTGGGCAGAACAGGAGCTGGAAAGTCATCACTTGTAAGCTGCCTCTTCAGAATCTTAGAGTCTGCTGGTGGACAGATCATCATTGATGGAGTAGATATTGCTTCTATTGGGCTCCACGACCTCCGAGGGAAACTGACCATCATCCCCCAGGTAAGCTCCAGAATTTACTTTGACACACACAGTGGAGAGCCTATTCTGCAGGAAATACTGATACCTAGTCAATTAGCAGTCACATTTCTGCAGTCCACTCAGGATACCGAAGCTAGTTCCCAAGTTAGTTAGTTTTTTAATTCTTTGTAATGTGCATTTATGACTGCCAGCGTTTGGCCAGTAGGTGGCAGCAACACAGCAAAAGTAAAACAACAAATGTACAGCATTTCTACAGCCCGACAGGGCTTGCAAGATTTTTGCGACTAACATATCAAGGTTTGCTGCTGAAGCTTGAAAGTTTTATATTCTCTCTTTGATACCGTTAAAAGATAGAGGGGGACATTTGCTTCGGGTTTTTACCATAAAGTGGAGCATGTGGTGTATCAGCAAGAAAGACTTCTCTTTGGTTTGCTTTCTTTATCCTTCCAAATAAGGAGGGCTGTAAGGCTTCTGAGCCTTCTGATTAGAACCATGCCTCTGCCCTCACTGTAGCCAAGTTTCTCTGGGGGTGGTTTTGGTTTGTCTGATGTCTGCTTAGCTTGATATGCTCTTTTCTCTGGACTCTTCAAATATAATAAATTCTCAGTGGTCAGTTTATCCCTTGCTGTACTCTTCCCTGCCCCCTCCACCTTTAAACTATGTGTTTTCCTTTGGAAAAGGGATATTCCTCTTTTATTCTAAAGAGAACCTGTGGCAAATTTGGAAATCCATAAGTGTGTCTCAGAATGAAACAGAAACAAACCAAACCAAGGGCTCTTCTGTGCCTGTGCCGGCAGCTGCCCAAGGCCTTCAGAGAACTTGCAGAAGCTTGACCATGAACCTTAGTCTTGGGACCTTAGCTTCCTGACTAAGGAGTCTATCTCAGTCCAGCCCTATGTGCGTTCTTTTGGCCACAAAGAACTACTGGGTCCTTTTCTGATGTTAACCTGAATAGCTCTTCATCTCTTGACTTGCAGGACCCCATTTTGTTCTCTGGAAGCCTAAGGATGAATCTTGACCCTTTCAACAACTATTCAGATGAGGAGATATGGACAGTCCTGGAGTTGGCTCACCTCAAGTCTTTTGTGAGTGGCCTACAACTTGGATTGTCTCATGAGGTGACAGAGGCTGGTGACAACCTGAGGTAATGTCTCATACCCACTTCCCCCATGGGCAGTAAAAGAGTATGTGGGGACTATTCCTCATGTTCTTGTGTTAGGTGATGTCTGGCGTTGTGGAATTTTTGCCACACAGGTCTAACTTCTAATGTACAAAATAAACCCACTGGGAAGATCATATGATAAAATAGACATGAAAGTGCTTAGATATTCTTGAAAATACTTGTTATTGAATGTGCCCCTCCTATGACATTGTATGAGATGGGTTTACAGTTCCTACTATTCTAGAGAATCATAGCAGATTTTCAATTTAGCTGTGTGCAGTAATTAAATGATTAAAACACCTGATACCTGGTACAACCGTAGAGTCTGATTTAATTGACACGAGGTGAAATTAGGACACAGTGAGTCTTGAAGGATCCCAACAGGCTATGAAGGCTATCCCAGTTTGAAAATTGTTGATCCAAAGGACATGTGGTTGTTGGGCATACAGAGTCTGCAAGGTCCTTGGGCACTGTTGAACTACCTTTAAGTAACACTTTCAGCATTCTTTTTACCTTTTCAAAGTATTTTCATATAGTGGCAGTTAAGAACCATTAGAAGCTGAAACTCAGGAAGGGAGAGCTCAGTAACTCAAATAATGGAATAGCAGCTCTGAATTCACCTAGGTACTTGGTAAAAAGGCAGAATCTCAGGCCCAATCCTAATAACCCAAATCTGCATTTTAGTAAGATTTTCAAGTGGTTTATGGGCACACTTCAGCTTCAGAAACACTATCTAAAGCACTGGTTCCTAACTAAGACTCTAGAGTCAGCTTTGATACTTAACAAATTCCAGTGCCCAGGCAGCACCCCAAACCAACTGAACCCAGAACCCAGGTGATACAACGCAGGGGACACTTGCAAGGCATGGTAGTAAATACCATCAGTTTGTTTTCCCTTAGCAACAAATCTTGAAACTAGTAGGACTCAAGTATGTCTTTATCTGATGTAAAGGATCAAACAGTTAACAAATACATACTAGCATCTACTATGTGCCAGACACTGCAGATACAGAGGCAAATCACACCGACACGACCCCTGACTTCCTAGCACACATAACATAACAGAGGAGACAGACCATGGGAGTAAACGGCAGTGCTGTCACTACTGTAAAGGGAATATGCCCAACACTATGGCAGGATGTGATAGTGGTACTTCTGGTTTTTGAGAATAAAAATCACTCCATCCTTTTGTCCATACTGAGAGACACAAAAATGGTATAACCAGTGCCTTCATTTCAGAATTGAATTTCAGAACTGCTTTGGGGATTAAAACTTAAATGTCCCTATTGAGTAGTAGAAAATCAGCACAGAGAGAGAAGCTGAAAGACAAAGAGGTACTATCACATAGCCTGTTGCTAGAAAGGTCAGTTGACCAGGAAAGAGGAGATTGGTACAAGCTAAGTAAACAGGTCTGCAGTGTCTCTGATCTTACACTGCAGACAAATACTGGAAGTTTATCTTGGGTGACTTCACATCTCCTGGAGAAATTTCCTTACAGAAGATTATAAAACTTTAACCAGCCTCTTTTTATTGTGTTTCCTTCATGTCCACAAGAGAGAGTAATTAGCAAATTCTCAAATATTGCTTTCATGTCATTTCCCAAAGCTTCTTTGCATAAGTAAGAGGCCCAGCCTTCATTTCAGGATTTTAGCAAATTAAAGCTATTTGCACTTTTCAAGCAAATTTGAATTTCACATACATTGTGTCTCACACCAAGACATCTTGTTCCTTAGTTTCGTCTCTAATCAAGGCAGAAAGGCTTGAACAAATGATTAACCATGAAACTAAAATTCCACATTGAAATAATGAGTGGATTTGCCAAGGCCATAAGAAATACCACTGGGGCATTGTATGTGGTGCCAATGGTGTCAAGGCAAATGCTGCTGAAATAGTTTATTCACATTCATGTTGTTTTGGAATTGTTCCTATTACTATAGCCAATGCAAGACATTTTTCCTAGACCCAGTTTTCAAACATATTTAAACATGAAAATCACTAGGTGTTTATTAAAAATGTACATCCCTTTCCACGATGAATGAGGCCCAGAGGTATAATTTTGTTATTTATACCATAGTGACTCTTCTAATTGGGAAAGTTTGAAAAATACTGGTTTTTGGGGGATGACCGGGGGATTTTGGAGTGGGAGTTGTGATAGTCTGGTCTGGAACACAGAACGTCCCAAAGCAAGTTTTCCCCTAGTCCTGGGGGCTCACGTGTGGCTTCTTCTGTTGGCTGCAGCCAAGGGCAGAAGCAGCTCCTGTGTCTGGGCAGGGCTCTGCTTCGGAAATCCAAGATTCTGGTCCTGGATGAGGCTACCGCTGCTGTGGATCTAGAGACAGACCAACTCATCCAGACAACCATCCGGAATGAGTTCTCCCAATCTACTGTTATCACCATTGCCCACAGGCTACACACCATCATGGACAGCAACAAGTGAGTGAGGGGTGGGGCCTAACAGACAGAGCTTAGTTCTTGGTGATAGCGTCAGCTACAAATATCTTATGGGGTTAACCACCATTTTACAGATGACTGAGGTCAAAATTACACATCAAGCTAATGAAAATCAACAGGACCCAGGGAACTATATTGAGGGCAAAATAGAAAATTAAAATTACTGAGTATAGGGAGGTGGAGACCTAACCTACAAATGGCAGAAACTGGCTGTGGACCTTCACTACCATTCTGGACTGCTGCCCTGTGAAATGATTAAAAGCTGTCTGGTCCTACGTTGGCACCTTATACTCAGAAGTTGGTAATATTAGGAAAGTTAGGAGAGGCAAGACTTCCTTTTTTTACTCAAGGGAAGGCTTACTTTTTTTCAGCTTTAATTGAGTTTATTGGTACATTTTAGGGATACAGTACAGTTACATTCATTGTTGGGATCTTGTACCTCTACATGACAAGTCTTGATTCTCATTTTTTCCCCTTACCTCTGCCCTCCCTTCACCCCCTCCTCCCCTCCCAAGGCTTACTTTTAAGTCAGTCATCCTTAAACAATGTGTACTTTGAAAAAATATAAAGGTGCTCATAATATTAATATATATATATATATATATATTATAGTTCTATGATGTGCTTTTATGCTCAATATTATTTTTGTGCTTTGTAGCCTTGTATGATTACCCCACAACTTAGTACTGGCTCATTTTATAAAGTCAGTATTCTAGATGCTACTTTCTAAGCCCTTTGTTTTTTCCCTCTTTGTTTCAGGATAATGGTCCTAGACAATGGGATTATTGTGGAGTATGGCAGCCCTGAAGAACTGCTGGAGAGGTCTGGCCCCTTCTATTTTATGGCCAAGGAAGCTGGCATTGAGAAAATGAACGATACAATGCTCTAGAAGCAGATCGCATGGGGGAGAAAAGGACTATAAGGATCATTTCTCTGTGTGTGTGTGTGTGTGTGTGCACGCATGTGTGTGTGAAATATGTCATGTGCAGAGCTGTGTGTAAGATGCACATTTGTTTAGCTCAGTCTCGCTGTGTTGCTCAGACTGGCATCAAACTCTTGGGCTCCAGTTATCCTCCTGCCTCAACCTGCTGAGTAAAATACATTTGAAGAATCGTGAGTGAATACCCATGTGCCCACTATCCAGATTAAGAAAATGAATACTATCAGGAGCCTTAGAAGCCCCTCAGTTGTCCCACCTTGATCATAGCTTCTCGCCACCCATCTCTTCCATACACAATGACTGTCCTGAATTTCATTATAGTTGTTCCCTTGCCTTCCTTTTAGTTTTCCCACCTTTGTGTGCATTATTAAACAATGTTTATAAAATCTCATGTAAATACACTCACACTGCATGCATTCTTTTATGACTTGATTTTTTTGTTCAATAATATATTTGATATTCATCCATATTGACACAAATAATGAGGTTCATTCATTTTCACTGTCTGGCATAGCACGGCAGTATATAAATACAGCACAATTTATATATTTTAGCATTGGTGAGCATTAAGGTTATTTACAGTTTTTCTTTCCTGTTATGAAAGGTACTATTATGAACATTCTAATACACATTCCCTGATATACATGTGTAAAGTTCTCTATAATTCAGAAATGGAGATGGTACACATATTCACATGAACATTCTAGATAATGCCAAACTTAGAATACCAATTTGAAACAATTTCGTCAATCTAATGAATGAGTATCTCATGGAGAGCTTAATTGCATTCTCCTGGATACTACTGAGGTTGAATTTCTTATGCTTATGGAGCATTTGAATTTATTTTATTTTTGTGGTACTGGGAATTATTTAAATGTTTACATAGTTTTTTAAAGTGTTGTGTCTAATAGTTCCAATATCTAGATTCTTTGCCATCTGTTGTTTTTGTTGATTCCTATCCATGGTGTTCTATTTCCTTGTATGTCTTGTAAGTTTTTACTGTAAGCTTATATCACCCTTAGCATTTGATCTGGCAATGTTTTTTAGGCTTGAATCAAATCTGGGTTCTTCCTAAAATATTTCTGCCAGCTGCCAGAGATATCACTCAGAACCTCTTGGAACTAAATTCTCCACTAAGAGATTTAACAGTATGGATTAGCACAGGTTCAGACCATGATCCTGCACACAACAGCCAGTTGGTGATTTACAAATCTCCAAGGAGAGTCCTCCCCGTGACACAGTAACAGTTTCGGTAGCCATGAGGTTTTTTGTTGTTGACGCCTCTGTTCTGCATGGTGAGATTTGTTCCTCATTTGCCTGGGCACTGCAGGTATAGCCTTTTCAGTATTCAAGTTTATCAGAGAGGACTCTGTTTTTCTCTCCTCCCTGACAGACCTTGGGTTTATCTCTTATTCGAACATCCTGTACTATCAAAAAATTGAGAGTTCGAGGTCACCAAATTTTGGAAGCCAGCCTAAGCTTTGCCCCTCCTAACCTCCCAGAGATTCTGTATCATATTGTTTGGAGTTCATTATAGTCCTTACCTCCATTTCAGTGATGTAATAATGAGCATTTTTATTTATCCATCAGTTTACTGTTTGCTGAGGTGCTTGGAGCAGGAAACTTCCTAAAGGAAAGATAAATATAGGCGGAGTAACCATACATCTGCTTTTCTCTGACCATTGCAGGTTGAACCTGTTGTCTCTGCATAGGGATAGCTCTCCCTTTCCCTTTAAAAGTTGTCCAGTTTGGTTGATAAAATTGTATAGTCTTCCTACTCTTTGCTCTATGAATTAGATTTTGAATCAGTGTGAGTGGTGATTAACTAAGCTGTGTAAATATCAAATTGTTGGCTAAGGAGTTTATTGAAGGAGAATTCCCTAATTCAGCAAAGTAGGTCTGGACATTGTATATAATTGTCAGTTCCTTTTCTTTTTGGTTTTTTGAGACAGGGTCTTGCTATGTAGTTCGGGATGGCCTTGAACTCACTATGTAGCTCTAACACTCAAACTCATGATGATCCTCCTGCCTCAGCCTCCATAGAGCTGGGGTCACAGGCAGGCACCAGCACACCTGGCTCTTCAGCTATTTTTCAAAGACAGTTTTTGAAACGTGTACCTATGTAGCTCAACTGCAGATTAGTGTATTTTCATCTAAAATTGTAGCAACTATAAAATGCTCATTGATTTATGCACCACTAAGACAGAATACCGCCTGTTACAATCTGCCATAACTTGTTTATCAGATGCATTCTATCTGTGGCGGAAACGGCACTTTACGATTAATACCACACTGTAGCTCTAGCGTTCCGTCAGAGCTAGGTCAAGTCCTTTATCTCTGCCACTGATTGCTGTTCCTTTTCCCTTTATTTCCAGTCTTCGTTGCTCTTTTAAGCCGCCATCCCTGCCATCCCCTTCATATCCTCTCCTTTCTCTTTCTCAACTGTTTCTTATTCACGGCCAGATAACTAGTCATTGTTTTCATTGTCTGTTCTTCGTGATTATTAAAATTTCAAAGGATCATGCTTTTATTTTTCTTCTTAAGAGTATTCCATATACTTAAACTTTCCAAATTGCTTCTTAAAACAAGTTTATATATATTTAAAAAAAAAATATATATATATATATAGAGAGAGAGAGAGAGAGCATTTGGAGAAGCAAGGGCAATTTTGGGAAACAGAGGAATGATTTGTATCTGCTGAAAGCTAGCTACGAACACCGAGAAATGAACCGAGAAAGAGCACCGAGGATGGAAGCGAACCTGTGGAGAAGAGCCCTGATACTTGCTTTCCAAACAAAATGGTCCGGGCTGATATTTCTATCTTCATCTCCAGAGAACATTGAAGATTAATGACCATCACTATTCATTCAGCATCTGGTAAATGTCTGGCACTGTCTCCTATTTTTTAAAAAAGCAATTTCATATAAATAAAATATCTTTTCTTTAAATGAACATTTGATTCCATTGTGGTCTACATTAATATTATTGTCACAAGTTTTATTTCTGCTAATCAATTTCAAGGACAATTTTAGATAATTGCCTAGAGCTAGACATTCCCTTAAAATGCTACCATATCACTCACTACCCGTCTTTTGGCCTCTTTCTGTGTCTTTCCTAACTCTTCAGGATATGTGGAATTGTAGTTTTTTTGAAGTGAAGAAGCTTGTGCCTGTTATTAAGCTATTATCTCTTGGTTTCACACCTACCCTTCTCAACTGCTTTGGGATCCTGGAGCTGGGACTTGCAAATCACATTTTCTTCTTTGCCACCTACTCCTTTTAGGTGCTAATGACAGAGGTTGCTGGAGGGAGAATAGGCACAGGCTGCATAAGGTAGAGACTCTTCCTGCTTGCTCTGTTTCTATTAGTATCATTGTAGCAGTATTTTTTTTTTTCAGCAGCAGCAGTTGGTATAAGCAGCAACACTGATTTAAGTTTGCAGTTTTTCCAACACTCATAGAACTAGTGTCATTGTGTCCCTCAGAGATTCCTGCCCCACCTGAGTAGCATCCACTCTTTCAGAAGCAATACAGTAAGAAATAATAATTCTACATTGAGACATTGGTACAAAGAGAAAGAATAAATGTATCAACAGGACTGCCTTTTCTGTAAAGGAGAGGAGAAAAAAAAGTTAAAGGAATAGAAAACCTATTCAAAAAAATAATAGTAGAAAGCATGTTTAATCCCAGAAAAGATATGGTCATCCATGCACAAGAAAGAGGCTTTTGTGATCCTGAATAGATGTGACCAGAAAATGTCTTTGCTGTGGCATATTATAGTCATACTGTCAAAAGTACAAGATAAAGAATTGTAAAATTTACAAGTGAAAAGCACCAAATCACATTTCAAGGTAACTCATTAGTCTACTTTTCAACAGAAATCTCACAGGCTAGGAGGGAATAAAATAACATATTACAAGTCCCAAAAGAAAATATGTGCCAACCAAAATTACAATATACAGCAAGACTGTCCTTCAAGAATAAAAGATAATGATCTTCCAAAAAGAGCAAGACAATTCATCACTGCCAGGAACAGCCTTACAAAAAATTCTTAAGGAAGTCCTACATCTAGAAGAGAAAGAAATAAAACTGTCACCATGAAAGGATGTGAAAGTATAAATCTCGCTAGAAAAGTAAGTACACAAAAGAGAAATAGAAAATAATCTATCTATTACCAATACAATCAACCATAAAAAATGCAAAGATGAACAGAGAAGAAAACAAAACAACATTCAAAACAACTAGAAGAAAATTCAATAGAGTTGACAGGAGTTATAACCTTGAATATAAAAGGGCTAAATTATTCAATTAAAAGATACACGCTGACTGAATGGACTTAAACAAAAACAAGATCCAAAAATATGCTGTCTACAAAAGATGTACCTCACAAGTAAAGACAGTATGAAAGCAATGAAAAATTATATTCCAAGCAAGTGGAAATCTAAAGCAAGTAGTAGTTATACATGCATTTGAAAAAGCAGACTTCAAGCTGGGCATGGTGGAGTAAACCTGCAATTCCAGTGAATAGGAGGCTGAGGCAGGAGGATTGCTGTGAGTTTGAGGCCAGCCTGTGCTACATAGTAAGTTCAAGGCCACTCTGAACTACATAATAAGGCATTGTCTCAAAAGAAAAAAAGTAGACTTTATGACAAAAACTATAAGGTACAAAAAAAAATCACTATATAGTGATCATGGGCTCAAGTCAACATGGAGTTGTCACGTTTGTAGATGTATATTTACCTAATGTTGTAACATCCACTTTATAAAACAAACACTAGTAGACCTAAAGGAATGGATAGTCTCCAATAAGATAATAGTAAGATAGTTCAACACCCCATTTTCATCAATGGGCAGATTATTTGGACCAAGAAAACAACAACAAAAGAAACAGTTAAAGTATACCACAGCTCACACAGATTTAACAGATATTCACAGAACATTCCATTCAACAGCTGCAGAACACACATTCTTTTCATAGGACATGGAACTTTCTCTATAATAGACTATATATTAAGACACAAAAATAAGCTTAAATTTAAGAAACTTAAAATCATAACCTGTATCCTTTCTGATCACATTAGAATAAAACCAGAATTCAACAGCAAAATAAACTTTAGAAATTAGACCACTGCACAGAGACTGAACGACACACCTGAAAGAGCAATTAAGTTATTAAGGAAGTCAGAAGAGAAATGTTAAAACTCGAAACAAATGAAAATAGTAGCACAACGTATCAAAACTTGTGGGCTGCTGCAAAGGCAGTACTGAAAGGAGGTGAGTGTCTGTCTGGCTGATGTGATAGGCCAACTCGACTGAGCAGGACCGAGAGCTGGTTAGGAAAGTTCTGAGCACTTCTGTGGATGATTGACATGTAGGCCAGGGGCCTGATAGGGAAGTCCCGCCTCAGAGGTAAGAGAC